ATTGATTAAGCAAAATTCCTTTAAAAGACACTAATCAATATACTAGATCAAGCGTTACTTGGGTTGGCACTTGCCAACTACTTTGTTCAGTTAAAGGAAACCTGAGACAGCAATGAATAAAAAACGCGGTGTTGGGAAGTTGTTGGTTTGAATGTTTTTTTTTTTCGTTTCATGAACAATCATACATAAACATTGGCGAATCTATGGCAGTGGCCCAGGCAGGGGTACTGGTCCTCCAACTTTTGTTAAGGCCAATCGGCCGGGCCGAAATTAATCGCTCCATTCCTTAGTTTTGTGTTAGTGCTTGTTCTAGTAGGCAGCTCCTCGAGCTCAAGGAAGTAGCGAGATTCAAAGACCGATTTCGAAAGTTTTTGCTAGGACGAAGTTGAAAACTAGAAAGACTGTTCAGCTTTTGAACGCCAGCAGGTTCTTGAGTCAAAGCCAAAAGGTGATTCTTTCACTTTGCCGATTTTCCAATCGAGGTGGCTATACGCAAAGCTAGGGCGCACCTCTTGCCAAAGCACATACCATAATAGAAACAGAGAATGGTGCGGACTGTGGTGGTAAACAACTTAGCTTACATCATGACTTAGCCACCGCAAAGAAACTCTTGCATTCTCTTATAAACAGGTTGATTCCAGTGGTTTTGAAGAAAACTGAAGCCAATAAAGGTGGCTAGAGGCGCACCTTATCAAAGTCCTATTTATAGCCTACAGTATCGGTAAATCTCAGTATAAGCGTTGACTTTAATTTATCAATAAACAGTGGGATATACAGTCGACTCTCTCTTAACGGACACCTCTATAAGACGGACACCTCCTAAAACGGACACCGAGAGTTGGTCCCTACCTTTCTTTACTCCCTTTATTTGACTCTCTATAAGACGGACATCTCTCTAAGATGGACACTTACTACCGGTCCCAAAGGTGTCTGTCTCAGAGGGAGTTGACTGCAATCAACTGTGATTGATCATTAAACGCATGGTGTGTCAAGGGTGGAGGGGGAGGAGGGAATGGGATCAAAAACAGGCGGGTGGCCGTCGTTGCTATGGCAACTTACTATGATGTTGTAAGCCCTTTTTAGCCAAAGCGAAAAACAAAACAAGCAAACGTATAACGTATATTACGCTCGAGAGGTTAAAAGTTTCTGCATCAGTTGGGTAAATGCCAGAGTTTTGTTAAATGTAAGTTTGTGACCAAGATGACGAGAATTTTAAATAAAGTCGTTAGTCCCCAGTCCAAGCATAAACCATGGTTTCATCTCATCTTGTACAGCTCATCATAGGCTGTCTAAAAGGGCTTTTCCGTAATAAAACCAATATAGGTTTATTTCCCCGATAGACCCAAACTCTCCAAAGTCCGATGCTAAGTTGCTTTAGCTACCCTTGGCCACAGCCCTCTCTCCTCTGCAGAGGCTCAAAGAGGCATGGCGAGAGTTAGTGCAGGCGCAAAATGTGGTTGGACCTTTCGGTTTTCGCGCCTTCACTCACTTTGTGCAGCAAAAATCCAATAACACCTTACAAACCTTTGAGGAGGAGAGTCAGAGCCCACAGCTTACAAAGAATATACACTATAATTGATTACTACCTTCAATTAATGCATTTGCAAAGCTTTTAAGAAGTCCGGTCCTACCAGTAAATCAAAGTCTCTGTGAGTATTGGGACATATATGAGTTGGTCGATCTGTGAAGATTGTAGTAGTGAGACGAATACGACCTATCACCAAAGAATTCATTTAAAATAAGCTGTGAATGCGCAAAGAACAATAAATTGGTAATAGCAAAATGACCTTTTACATGTACGAATTAATACTGTGAAATGCACAGAAAATATATTTTGATGTGAAGTTGTAAATTCAATTTTAGGAAGCTCGTAGTAGACTAGAAATCACCTTAAATACAAAGAAAGGCAGCTTTAATCTGATTGATCGCATTTGAGGATTCATTCTATATATTATCATTATCAATATTATTATTATTGTTATTATTATTATTATTATGCTCTAGAATTAACAGTTGGTTTCGAGTCTAACCTTAATAACAATGCAGTGCGTAAAAAAGAAGAATATCTGAAGTTGATCAAAGTAATGAGTAGAAATTACAGATGTGTGAAATTTGTAAACCTATCAATGAGCTCCCTTGGCGTCTTCTCTGACGAATGCTTCACGTTCTTAGACATGATGAATGACATTGACATTGACAAAAAGCAGCAACATTATATAATAATAAAAAAAAAGATAAATATAGCCATTAGATCAACATATTTCATCTTTTGTTGTAGAAATAGGAACTGGGATAGCCCAGACTTATAATGCAAATTTGATTTGTTTTTGTTTTTGATTTTTTCTTTTCATTCTTTCTTTCTCTTTTTTTTTTTTTTTAATTTTTTGAATAATTCAATCCCAAGCACACTGTAAAATGAAAAGAGCCAATTTGGCCCCAAAAATAGGGCCAAAACGGGTGTGACAAACAAATCCGCACGCAAAAAACTTCTACCTTTTGTTACACTTTACCTAGCCTGAAGAGAATACATATGGGGAAATGGCACCTTATACAAAACCAGCAACGACTAAGAGAAATCTTTAAGGAGCCTCCCCTCATATTTTATCGAAAGGGAAAATCTCTTCAGGACCTATTAGTTAGAGCGAAGCTCTGAAGGTCATACTACTTCCAGTACGACTTAGTGCAGGAGTCGTGTGGTGCCCGTCGCTTATTTTTAACATTAAAAATTGCCCATACGTAGCGAGAATTACAATTGTACATTCAAAACAGAAATAAAGTTTCCTCCATTATT